AAACCGAAATCCAGAGAGAGGTGCGTATTTCAAACAGCTTCAAAATTCAGCTGGTCGTGTCCAAGACAGATTTCCATATACCTACTTATAGATACAGACTATGTATAGCATATGTATATATAGTTTCTGCTGATAGCATATTCACACACAAATGACAGAGAAGCACAGTTGGTTCTATATACAAAAGCGTAAATGATGACAGAAGAGATGGAACATACTTATTTAAGCCAAGCTGTGTAGCAGAGAAACATACTGAATTTTTGTCATGTGGGTGGCTTACGTTTTGTTTGCCTTTGGCCCCTAAGATGTTCAAAGAAACACTGATAAAATCCATGCACGCAGAGGAAAACGTCCTTTTCATCACTGTTGCTCGCTATCTTGATTAAACATAGAGAGAAACGACTTGCTAACACGGCTTAAACTGGAGTGATCTCTGCAGTTACTCCATGTACTCGTTTTATCTCTACCAAGGCAGGCAGCAGTTCAACCTGGATGTCTGGCAGCCAGGTCTCGGACGCCTCCAGTGCTGCCCTGCCAGACGGGCTGTGAGGAGCAGACGGGCACCCAGCGAGCGGTGCTGGGGCTGCCCCGCACGCCCCCAGCCTCTGTGACCCTGACGTCAAACACCAAAGTGCTGAGGAGAGAGACGTGGAGGAGACCGAACAAAGCCCGTCTCCCGCTCAGCCCTTTCCTGCAAGCGCAACAGTATTCATGGCCACGGGGACCAGCCCCTGCCCTCACCCCGAGGGTCTGCGCTGGTGCCCAGCCCTCGTTCATGGCCCCAACCCGGGGGTCCCCACGATGCCCACGGCCCCCTTCTGCACATGCTGCAGCAGCCTGCACGGCCCTGGGTGCACAGGGGCAGTTTGTAGCCGAGCTGTGAAAAGGCAGCTAACGGGAAAGAAAAAACAAACAGCTTCAATCAAAGTCTGAGCTTCTCCTATTCCCAACTGCTCAGTTAAAAACATACCGCCTGTGCCTGTAGCATCTTGATGTTCCTCAAGAAAAAAAATCATCCAGAGGCCTTGCTAGGATGGAGGCATTTGCTTTAAAATGCTCTTTTCTTTTCTCCAGTGACACAGTGCACAGTATTTCACACCAAGAGCCAAGCTAGCCATTCCTCCCAGGGAGTATTGATGTCTAAGCAGCACGTTGAGCTGAGGTGAACCAGTCACCGCAGCTTCAAGGATCAGTGGAGCACTCTGCCTCCGGTTAATAAGCCAGTAGATCCGCCAATTATATCCTTGATCTGTCCTGACTTCAAAGGGAAGCTGCGGTCTAGAAGCAGAGCAGGCAATTGAAAGAAGGAGTTGTACTTGTGACAAGGGAAAGCAGCCTGATGCATCAAATACATAGGATCTTAACCCACTTCTTTTTATTAGTCGGCCCCATCTATAACCTGCCGAAACATATGCACAAGCACAGTTTGTCCCTTAGCTCTGAAGAGTGTATGTAAAATTCTGCTTGAAGAACAAGGAACAGCAATATACAGAAATTTAATTTGGGGCTGGCTTGTGCCCTTGCTGCAAATTATTTTAGAGGTGATAAAGAGATGAATGAGACAGAATAGAATAGCTGGCAGAATAGTTCAGCTGGAAGGGACCTAAACTGATTATCTAGCCCAACTGCCTGAACATTTCAGGGCTGACCAAAGTTGAAGCATGTTATAAAGGGCATTGTCCAAATGCCTCTTAAACACTGACAGGCTTGGGGCATCAACCACCTCCCCAAGAAGCCTGTTCCAGGGTTTGACCACCCTCTTGGTAAAGAAATGCTTCCTCATGTCCAGTCTGAACCTCCCCTGGCGCAGCTTTGAGCCATTCCCAGGCATCCTGTCCCTGGATCCCAGGGAGAAGAGATCAGCACCTCCCTGTCCACGTCCTCAGGAAGCTGCAGAGAGCCATGAGGTCGCCCCTCAGCCTCCTTTTCTCTAAACTAGAGAAGCCCGAAGTCCTCAGCCGCTCCTGAAGGACATGCCCTCCAGCCCTGTCACCAGCTTTGTTGCCCTCCTCTGGACATATTCAAGTACCTTAACATCCTTTTTAAATTTTAAACACAAAGTTACATGTTATAGTTGGGAAAATCTAACAGCTTACTGTTCCCAAAGGCTAAACCCATTTCTCCTCCTTCGCCTCCATCATGCTCCTGGTTTCCCCCGCCCCGTGTGCTTTGCTGAGCCTGCTCAACTCACAAACCTGGCAGAGAACTACTAACTTCCTTCTGGGTTCACAAGCTGCATTGGCTCCACTGAACATGAGAGCTTACACAAAAAGAGATAGATGACCATGTTGTCTGCAGCAGGATGATCATCTGATCTCAGCAATCGGAACTGATGGGTTAAGCGCAGCTGCAACATGCAAAGTCACCTTCTCAGCAAGACAAGCAGGCAAAACTCGTAACGTTCAGTTACAAAATATATCAAACACCAAACTGCATTCTCTCTGCTGCAAACACTAATAATATTTAGTGGACGTTAAATCATGCAAGCATTGTACAGTGCAATTTACTCACAGCAGAAGGAAAACATACTCGTGATATGCATTTCACCACTGAAGCTCATTTATCATTACTTATCAGCCTAAGAACTAAAAGATTTTGTATTGTTATCTAGCAGAAGGAAAGGGTTTATACCAGAAATTTAGATTCTGGGCAAAAATTCTGGCACTCCTTCCCTCCCTGAGTTCTACTCTAAGGAAATTAATAAGCAGCACTGTCTAACTAGATCATCAGAAGTGGAAATGGTTGGCTTAAAGTGGCTCAGACAATTATGGGAATGAAAGTCAAGAACAGAATCAAGAGCAACCCAAGCCAATTGGTCATGAGTAATCTCTAAGCATCCATAGGCAGCCAACCAAACCTGAACAAAGTAGCCACCAGTTAGAAAACTAATGTATTTCTTCATCAAAAAGGTAAGCTTGCTAGTGACCAACTGAAATGCTATGAGAATTTTTTTAGAAACAATTATGAGATTCCTAAATCGGAGGGGGTGGGGGGAAGTCTTTTATCCTACATAAGAATAACTGTACTGTGTTTTAGTGTTTTTACCATGTTTTTAGTCTGTTTTAGTGTTCAACCACCTGCACAGTAAAAATTTTTTTTTCAAATGTTCAGATGGAATTGTCTCTTGCCTTGTCACTGGGCACCACTGAGAAGAGTCTATGTTCATCTTCTTTACACCCTTCCCACACAGGCAGGAACTTTTCATATTTATGTAAGATTCATCATTACAGCATCTGGTCCTACTGGCTGAAAAAAAAGCTATTGTTTATCACAAAAGAGAAAGTAGATTACCTATATGGTTGAACAAGTTATTGTACGTGGCTGACCAAAGTTGCTTTGGTGGATGCAATTAGCAGATGAAGGCATCCAGCTAAAACCAGGAAGATGAACTGGGCCCGCACCGCCACCCAACATTTCACTAAAAGAGCAGATCTGGCAACACTGACAACCGTATTTTACTCCATTGTGCAAGTCAATTCTGCAGGTTAAGATTTTATCAAGAAGAGTTAAAACAAGACACAAGATATCATACCCAAGAAATACCACCTTTTTTTCTGAGCATGAACCCACATATTTAGATGTTATCCTTGTATCATTTTACTAATCCATGTTTCCTCAACACAAGAATAAATTCCCGTAACAGTGCGTTGAATCGACATTTGGGTTATGTCCAAAACCCCACTCTCAAAGTTAGAGCCGACTGTGGTTGCATTGCGGGGGTGGATAGGAATAAATTCTGCTTTCAGCAATACTGGGGTGGGGGGAAATCTTACTACACTGTCTCAAAAAATTAAGTTATTTTTTCTTAACTGGTACACTTCCGGGAAGACTGCATTAAGGATACCTAAATTATTCTGACATGCCATTTATTAGACTCAATTTTATTTCTACACAATTTGACACAAAATAAGTCATTTTTATAATACAGTTTGTCATGAAAACTGCTTAGTAATATTACTTGGAAAAATTCAGCAGTTGTCTGCCTTTCAGCAGTTACAAAAGAAGAGGTGCCATTATTGTATAATGGTATACTTTCATAGAGGTAGGGGATTACAGAAGAAACAAAACTCCATAGGAAAAAAAGCATCACGCTGTTCCTTATCAAAGCTACAAAAACAAAGCAAGCGAGGAAAACAAGTTCTGCTTTGTTGAAGGTACAACATTGATGTTTGAAGCCAAGAAGAGAAAAATCCAGAATTTCATGTAAGACAGTTACCAGGTAAGTTTTAAAATGAAAAATCAATTTTATGTTTAACACTATTCAGGTATCATATGATAGAAGAGGACAATACATACTCAGAACTGGAATATGAGTTATATCTTACCCTTACTGGTAATATTACTTAAGTACACTACTATGCTATTCATTCAGTAATTTACAACTGTTAATAAAGCCCCATAAAATCTTTTTGTTAGGTTTGTTTTATAGCTAGGATCATAAAGGCAGAATGGTTAACAGCCTGAATTCTAGAAACATACAGAGTCCCTAAAAATCAGGCCTCTCAAAATCAGGCCATTAGGTTTTTTGTGCCTACACCACAAAGGAGCAAGTTTCAAATTCAGGGAAAAAGCTCCAAGTTTCCATTTCTTAGTTCTTAACCAGAATGGAAGACCCTTTCTTGTCTATTTTTGTCAGCCATATCTAGACAACTTTCCTCAGGCGTAAGTCGGACTAAACTCCTACAACTCACTACCTGTTCCAACACATATGCTGTGTCCTTACAAGTACTGATAAAAACAATTTGTATGGTCGTGAAAAGAGAGGGCGCTGACAGAGATTAAAAATAATCAAGCAAAAAAAATTAACAAACAGGAGGGAGAAAGTGGGTTCAGATGCAGTACCACTTAAGAAAAACAACACAGCATGTCAAAGAGTGCCATAAGCTGCTTTAGCACATGACAGTCAGTGTCTTCCAAACAAGCAAAAGGCTAACTGAAAGCAGCATCTATTTAAAATAGTAAATACGCCATTACATAATTAACCAACAGCCAAAAGCTTTACTCATTAGTTGTACAGTTTATTTAGACAAGACAAAAGCTTGCACAGTTTTGTAAATGTATACAGAAATGAAAACATCTTAAATATATTAGGTTTTTTTCCCCGTATATTTAACTTTGTTGTTGGAAAAGTGACCTTTATTTTTTTTTTTTAGGATTCACGTTTCAGCAGTACATATGCTCCCATTACTGCCAGAAGAGCATACTGCAAAAGAAAATAGAGAAAAGACCAATTATAATTTCTCTTCATAGAAGCTCTGAAATTACAAATTGTTCAAAGTGTGCCCTCTCCAACATTACACCTTCTAGATGAGTACACAACTCTAGAGTTGTGCTCCTACAGAATTACAAGAATATTTTAATGTGATCATATTCATTATAAATAGGCATCACAACTGTATACACTTAACTTACGACATTCCTACAAATTAAATATTTTCAAATGATTACAAATACTAAGTTCTACTGGATAACAGACAACTAAAATAAGCAAGAAAACACAGCTCATTTTACATTAGGTACCGAACCACAGAAACAAACCTATTAACATGTATTCTTATATGCAAGATTCTTACTACCTTTACTTGCTATTTTATAGTTTTGAATTCAAGTATGCAAAATGCCTGTATACATACCTTAAATTTTGGATAGTCATTCATTATTATAGTTACCATACCAACATAAGGCAAAAATCTGTAATTGACAAAACAGATGAATGTAAGATCAACCCTCAAATATTACATGGAAACGTTTCAATGTTACTCAGTCTTGAATATTTTAGATAATGGATTTCAGAGAAAAAAAAAATTCAGATAGACAGCAAGAGCTTTAAAGACAATACGTACTTAATGAAAATTTGGGAGCAAGATCTCTTAGATTTCCCTCTCCTCCCATGCTTCATCTTGCTGCATATTATTCATAGCATCAAAAATACACATGGATCCCAGAAATGGCAAATAAATATCATCATAATGAGGGGTTCCCACAAAAGCCTGACATCCTACAACACAGGGGAATCAGCTCTTCAGGGTCTCCCGTTGTTCTGCAGCTACAAAAGCCATATAATCTAACACAGAAACGGTTTCAAACTAATATGGAAAGTATTTAAAATTAGCATTTAACCTAGTCTACCAGCATTAAAGTTTTAGGGGGGCACCTGTAGTGTTTCTTTTTATTTAACTTGAAGGCAGGGACAGAATCTAAAAAAATCAAGCAAATAAATATTCTTGCAGAAAAGTATTTTGAACTGTTATGCAAGTTAACCCTATATTTACAACAACTTATGGAACTCTTATATTAGGCAAGAAAACACACAAGTGTATAAGGCGATACAAGAAGTCGTACTTTCCACTGGGTTTGGCCCATGACATTAATCTTAGCCTACTGGACACAGCAGAACTCACATCAAGCTTCTCATGGCATCACTAAGACTCTCATAGTCCAAACAATACTTTGCCACAGGCTCTAAGCAAAAGCATTCCAAATAAGAACAGTGTAAAACAATCATTAACGCTTGTCACTAATGCATATCTGAATGCGAAATAATTTTTTTTTTCCTTAGATAAAAATTTAATCAAGTTATTTGAGAAAAATCTTAGAGATTTCATCTCAACTGGGGGAGGGAACAAAGTCAAAAGCTCAAACCTTGCAAAAAATTCCTGTGGAATGTGGAAATAACTTCCTAGTAATTTCTAGAAATTACAAGGATAAGTTGGTTAATTTTGTATCTATTGGTGAACTATTTGTTAAATAAATTTTTTTTTCAAAAAATTAATTTCCACTCTCCACATCAGTGAGAGGACTACAGAAAGCAACTTTTCCAGGTAAAACAAATTTTTTAATCACTATTTTATTTGAGAAATTAAAAAAATACCATACCAGATCTAGTTTGTACCAACAGCAGAAGCGATTTAAATTCTACATTTTCCATTTTAGTTACAAAGAACATAGACATTTTGCATTACTTACCCTCTTGCTCTTCCAACAACATCTTTCTTCTCTAACCAATTCTGACCTTCTTTGTACAAGCCTCTATCATCAACTTCATTATTATCACCTTTAGTCAGAAATTTGATGTTCCCATGTTCTCTAGAAGGCAACGAGGTGATAAACTAAATACCACTTAATTTAAAAACCTCAATTAACATCTACAAAGCACAATGAAGATGAAAAGTGCTACAAGATTAGATAACAATATTTACTTCCAGTCCTGCTTGTCCTGCTTATTTAACAAACACTGTTAAATCATTAACATTACAGACTTTACTGACAGAGTCAACAGATTTTAACAAGAAGTATTTTTTAAAACACTTCTAGATTGTCATTTGATGTAAGCAATTACACAGCGAACACGAAAGGGATATTGTCCATCCAGAGCAGGCATTAAACTTCCCCAACAAAAGCAGTATGTGCCTATGTGGGGAAAAAAAAAACCCAGCCCTCTGCATTTTCAACAGAACAGAAATTTAACTCTGAAATACTGAATAATACCCTACTAAGAGGTTTTTCTGGGTTTGTTTTTTTTTTTGGTTAGTTGTTTCTTTACAAATTGTGGAATAAGATCCTGTGAAGTCATCACACGTTAGAGAATGAAGTTAATTGAATTTTAATCACAAATTTCAGATGAGGTAGACCCTAAAAATCTTCCCTTAGGAAAGCAAGTGGTATAATAATACAATGCTTTAGGCAATTTTCCTCTAAGTTCTATACACTTGTTTAACTCCTAGTAATCATATTTATGTCAAAATAAGTATTTCCTTTTGACAGAAATAAATATTGAAGAGCCTCTAAAGTACTGCAAATCTGCATCAAATTCAGTATTTTGTCACTAACACTGCAACACAGTTTTAGGTCACTCATTAATTGTTAAACAATATAGTGAGTTCCAGGCAAAACCTCACTTAGTTTGATATTTATTAATGTGGTAAATAAAAAAATACACGTAACCAGTCTTCAAATAACATCATGTGGACAAAACATTATGTGGGGTTTTTAGGGGAGTGTATGGAGAAATCCGAGCAACAGAAAGGCTTCATTAGGTGGCACTCTTCCCCCCACAGATGAACACCTGCAACGCTGAGAGCGCCAGGCTGCTCCCTCGGACGTCCTGACCTCTCCTGGCCGTTAAGGAGGCTCGTTCCTTTCTGTAGGAATAGAGGTTTAAAACCCTGAACACGCCCAAATCATAACCTCTCCCTACCGTTTCAAATGAACAAAGTATCTTACGCTACGTTTTGAACGTGATATAATTTAACCACTGCTGTTAGAAAGCCTGCCATGTTTCGCTCCCTTTCAAGCATTAGGCGTATGTGCAGACAATGCATGCAAGACTTCCGTTCAACACTCCCATTTAAATAATTAAGTTTACAATCTTCAGAATGACTTTGCTCAAGAAGCTGCTAATTGCAAGTAATGATATCAAGAAACAAGGAGTTTTTATGAAGACAAATTAGGTATTAAAAAAAAAGAGGTAATTCTTCGATCTACATATTTGTTTCAAAAATGCATTGCAGAACAGGTATTACTCAAAAGATAAACACCTTCAGTTCATGGCCAGGACCTCCTGAGGAGCAAATATGCCAATGCCTGCCACCTCCAGGTTAGCTTTTCGCTGTGCAGAATTAGAAACAGAATTGCCTCTCTTTGAGAAGGAACTGTTTATCATACCAAGGATATGCAATAAAGGTAAAAACAAGTAATCTACCTGTTGCTTTTCAGCATGAATTGTTGTTGGCATTGTGACTAACAGACACAAAAAGAATAAGAATCTCTTCTTTCATTCTGAGTCAAATCTCTTTTCTGGAAAACTTCCTGATTCTGAATCTTCACCTTCTTTCAGAGATTTGCTTTTGGAAGTAGCTATTTCTCATAACCAAAATCCCAATTCTACAACAGTCAGTACAGAAGTGGACTCTGCTCCCATACATATTGCTACTGCTGGCAAAAATAACATGTATAGCTTGTGTTACTGGACTCCTCTTTGGCATAGGTTTATCTACTTCGAACCTGAGTGACTTCACTGGGGGACAGGAGGCAGGGTCTCAAGAAGTGCGCCACAGAATTGCGGACAAAAGCGGATCACATCCTAGAGATGAGTTTTATCTTACAGCATATCCTCACTTGCCTTTTTCATAAAATACTACCAAATTAAAATGTAAGTGAAAGCCACGGTGAAGTAAACTATATTTAGAAACAAGGAAAATGCCAAGTTGCATTACTTTTCATGTATTTTGATTACTCTGTGAACTATTGGAATGTCTCTGCCTTCAACTTTAAAAACAACTATTTCACCAGCTCTGATTGGGTCATCATGGAAATTTGTTAAGAACAACAGGTCTCCCCTGTGAAAAGCTGGTTCCATGCTGCCACTACAAATAAAAAGAAAGAGTTTATTAACATTATGGTAAATGAAAGAAGAACCATGAAAATAAAGAATATCTAATTCTTACAGATAAACTCATGATTTTAACTGAAATCTGTAGCTTTACCCATTCAGTAACACTACACAGACATTTAACACAACCCAAACCTCAGTAAGTCCCAAGCTGAGCCAGGCTATAGATGACTTTCTTACTCCCTCAGTGAAAGAAAGAAAGAAGCTGTATGGAAAAGTAACAGTATTGTAGCTATGAGGAAGGAACAAAACAAGCCATCCGGTTAAGAAAACCAATCCATTAGCGAAAAGCCAAAAATGTTTCACAGTACAACAGGAAGTACTTCTGTATAGAGAGAATTTAATTAACATGAGCACGAATTATGCTTACATCAGTGATTACTATTAATGATCACAAAACCCATGCCTTTTTTCAAAGCCAGCCATAGTTACCTTTTGGTAACAACCTTTAAGGCAGGATTCCAGATCCCATAACTAATAACATGAACAGACGATTCCCATTAAAATACTGTTATTGACTGCACACATTCCTTGCTGACACACATTCAGTTTCTGTAAGGCTGAATCTTCCATGAACATGTGTTTAACTTCAAGTATTTAATCAGCACTCAAGGGCCTGCAGGACTGGCTCTTTATATATCACGTACCTACTGCTTCTACAAACTTCAATCAAAACTAGACTGCAATTATGATAGCAGTGTTTGCTAAGTGTCCAAAAACAGAGTTAGAAGAAAATAAATGTTAGAGTACTTTTTTGAGTAGGTGAGATTTCAAACTCCGAATCTATCCAAGGGGGAAGGGGAGGAAGCAAAGGACAAAACAGTATTTGGACTTTAACAAAAAAGCCTTTACATTGACTTACCTGAGCACCACAACAATAGGGCTTTCACTTCCAGTAATGACGATCAGCCCTTTCCATATCATAAGGGCAGAAGACACTATCATAGCAAAATTTAAGACTTGATAATACAGCTATATGAAACAAGAAAATTGTTTTTAAAAGTTACTGTGTTGTATTTAGGAGCACAACATAGAATTTCAACCCATATGCAACACTGAATCACAATCCAGGCACGTGGACTTCTATGCTAAAATCGTATTCCAACAGAAGCCTCATGGAATAGATTGCTGTATCGGCAATCCAACCGCATAAACCATACTGCAGCATAACGTTTTAATCCATTGTGTGCCTCAATCCTGGCTTATTATGCCTGTGCAATAGTCCCATTTGTTAGTGCTAGAAGCTAGCAAACTCACTAGCAAAGACTTCTAAAATACAGGAAGCTATATGGCAAATGATCAAATCCATTTTGGTCGCACGTCCTTGACTCCTGCCTGAGCTCCTAAGTATTCAAAACACACATAAGAAATACTATAAGATCAGTAATAGCAGACTTTGTACTTTGCACAGTTATTTTTGTTTAAAAAGAGGAGCTGTGGGAGTAGAAAAGAGATGACAATGGATCATTTTCTGCTACTGTCAGGCAGAAATTTCTTATGTGGAAAATCTTTTCTTGATTTGATTAATTTTCTGCCCCAAAATTCTACTGCTTC